TAAATCTAATTGACCTAAAGTTTAGCTAGTTTTAGGAGAATTTAATGGACAGAGGAAGTTGACAAAAAAAAAAGTTTTATGGATACTGAATAAAATAATTAATGGGTCTACTTTTTAAACACTGTGTTACCCTACTGGAAAAAAATATCAACTGTGGTGTGAAGAAATGCATCTCAAGAATGAAGTGTCAGCCTAAGAAAAAAAGAAAGAAACTAAAGACGATTTTTGGGTGTAATTTCTAAAAATGTGGTCGTGAGAACATGCATTACACTAAAGGCAAAGAAGGGATATATATGGACAAAGTGAGGAGAGTTAGTACCTGTTGGTGTAAAGTACGAGGCCCTGTAGCAAACTGGGAGGACAGCAGAAAAGAGTAAAGAGGTCACAACAGACATTGAAGGCAGACAAACACTAAGCCAAAGCAATGCAGCAAAAGAAGCCATGTCAGAAGTCCAGGTGAAAGAGCGGGAAAGACTTCCGGCGCAGCACATCAAATCCCAAAACCCAACCAACATGAAGAAATACCTGTCTCGGCTGCTGTGCGGAGTTCATTTGTGGAGGTGGAGGGGTGGCAAAAACAAGAGAAGGTGGTTGTCCGGGGCCGTATGCAGCCTGGAGGAAAAAAAAACAAAAAACAAAAAACAGAATAACTTTATTACAGAACTCCAATTTACTCAATCAATACATTCCACCCAGAAGGTAGGCCTCACCTGGGTTAATCCAGGAGACGGGGAGGGATTTGGGACAGAGGTGGGTCCCGTTATAGGTTGTGGTGGTTTGTTCATTTCACGTTCTTTTATTCGTCTGCATTAGGGTGGCTGTGTGTTGCCAGCCTTTGAGAGAGAGAGAAAAAAAAAGAAAAAATGACAAGTATTTCAACATCTAAATAATGTGTTTAAAAAGGTTTCCAATTAAATCACAGTTATTACAAAAATAAACTGCCTATAACTGAATAATTCGAGGCATGGGTGCAACATGTTGCCCAATTATATTTGCAGCAATAATGGGTAAGAACACCACTGTATGGACACATCTCTAGTGTGGCACCACCACTAAGCAAAGAGGGTGTGGTCTGTGGGCTTTGCCCAAGATAAAACCATGACCACCACCTCCCACACGTGCATATTGTGTATCCAAAGCATTAAGCATAAACACCAGTTAAAGTCAAAGAAACATTAATATAAGTACAATTTAGGTTTTGTCCATCCAAATCTTTACAAAAGACAAGGGGCATACAATGGCAAACGGGGGAAGCTACTAATTGCTGGTTCTACTGGTTTAAAGACATATTTGGCTGACAGAGTAGCTGTCAGGCAAATATGTCTTTAGCTAACAGCTAAAGACAAATTCCAGTATGTTTAAGAAAATGGATACCTCAGGTCAAAGGGCATTTGCTGTGTTAACAGTGTTGTGCTAGGTCCATGTGGGCAAATAAGCTGTACAAGTACCGCGAGTTTATGTTAAGGTCGATGAATTTTCAATTAAACACAAAAGAAAAGCTTATTAACATTTTAAAGATCGTACATAACAACAACATGAAGGAACTGCAGTGGAAAAACTGATGTTTCGAACAGGCATGACATTCTGACACAGGAACCGTCGTTAGCTGCTAGCTAGTGCCATGCTTTAGGGGTTTAAGCCACAACTCTACCATATGGTTGTGAAGCGTGCAGTGACGGATAGCCGGCGTGCGAACCCTCATTAAAGATGACGGGTGTTCAACGAAAAGATTATTATGTCTTAGCAAAAATGTGGGTTAACATGAATTTTACCGACCCGCTAGCGTGGCAGGCGCTCGTAAATCGTAGCTACCAGCCTGCGTGCTAACGTTACGTGTCCCGCTACCACAGACATTTTCTGTAGTTACGCTACGTGGCTCAGTCCGCATTTAACCCCGGAGTACATGGCGTTCAATTTGGTACGTACTAATAATGGGCGACACGTTTTGTCGGAAAACGCGAGAACGAGGAAACAAAGTGTTCCCGAGTAAAGTGGCTGACACGTTCTGGTTACTGTGGAGCTATTGTTGGTGAACGTCAGCTAGCCGTTTAGCGCTGAGAGTGAGATGAGCAAATTAAACAGGCCCAAAAAGCCACACGATCAAATGAACCCATCCAATCTATCATTCAACCATGTCCTTAGCAGATAATAATTTCACTGGTAACTTCGTATAAAACAAAGCTTTGCAACAAAGGCGCTGTCTGCACACATGATATAACAGGGTTAACACCAAAACGAGGTAAGAAGTAACTGATGAAAATAACCGGTGAAGATTAGCCACCAACTGTCATTTCAGCGAACCTCAAGATAACTTCAGTCAAACACCGCGAACAGCAGCTCAAAGTATAAGCACTCAATTAATAAATGTTAAACTGAACTGACTGCAAAAGTTTTTCTCTGAAATAAAGCAGCATTCATCTGCTTGCTACCCAAGCAAATGTGCTGACAGCCGGCCGGGCCTGCTCAACCTGCATGCCTTTGACAAAACTAATACCTAGCTAGAGTGAACGTAAAGCTAGCATCAACAAGGCTAACCGGCCTAATTCTTACCAGGTACCAACAGTGTCAGGGTCGTAAATTGGGAACTTGGGGTATCAGCCTCTGGTCAGTCTTCTGTTGGTGAAAGTTTGTTTGCTTGTCCTTCCTGCAACAGACGAGTGAAGCCCTTCTTGGCTATTGACTTTAGCGAACTAGTTGGCTAACCGGCAGATGGGGTGAGTGCTACTGATGTCACTTCGGTTTAAATCCCAGGATGTTCAAAAGTGACAGTGGTTTAAAAAATATATAATAATATCGCTCTTCGGGAGTGCTATTGATAATTGCGATAACTCCCAAATAAGCCTCTGGACTGGAGGTCCATGATCAAGGCGTCGATGGTGACGGATTGCCGGTTAGATTTGTACTCTCTCGTACGCAAGGCTTAGAGAGAGGCCATAGTGCGATGTTTCTGCTGCTCGGAGCCGGTGCGCCTCCAAGTCGCATGGGTAAGTTCCGGGGAAATTACAATTTGATGCCGGTTCCTTGGTCATGTGACACTGGAGAGTAAATCATTTGAGGAAGCGTAGAAGAAATATTTTTATTGTATAAAATGAAATAAAAAAAAAAAGATAATAGATGTCTGAAAAATAAATAAATAATAGCATACAGTAAAAATGTTTTAGTCTCAGTAATGGAGGGTTCAAAGGATATCGAGTTTGATTCGCTTTTCTGCTATTATTCCTTTTTTTCCCTCTTCTTTTTGTGAACCTAATTTGTTTTCAAGCAGCAAATAACCACTGGAATATACAAAATGCTGCACCATTATGGAAGCAAAATTATATTTAAAAACAGAATTAAAACAAAATTTACATGAGACAAAAAAAAATCCACAAAATATTACAAATATATAATAATAATAATAATAATAATAATAATAATAATAATAATAATAATAAATGTTCTGAATAATCACCATTAAAATATGTTGATAGTGCATGTTGAAATTATGCTTAAAAAGTAATCAAAGCAAAATTTATTCAATTATCCTAAAAGTTAGATTAAGAATAATCATTTTTATTACATGACATACATAGAGAAACTCAAAAACATCCCACAAAGAGTTATTAAATTACTTGTTTCACTTGTCCAACCAATTAACTGAACTGCAGAGAACTGTAACTCCAAAAGTAAGTGAAAACATCATAAATAATAAAAAGCCCAATATGCTTCAGAATTGAACTAAACAATTTGTTTTACCTCTAATATTGTTCCTATTTCTGGATTCATCTATTTGCATTTTCCCTCTGTAAATTATCCAATTACTGATTTGTTTCTCAAATTATTCTAAAAAATTTAGTTTTGTATTTCACAATAATTTGCAGTGGAATAAAGCAATAATAGTAATCAAATATTTTTAAAAATATATTTGTTTATGTGTCTTATTTCAGTGTGCATCACTATTTTATTATACATATATAAGGAGGAGAGTCTTTCAGAGCATGCCAGGAGAGGAGTGCACAGACTGGACCAGCTTGATTTTCAGAGATAAAAAGCGACCTAAGCATATCAGTGATACAGAAGTCCTCTGCCTGCTGCACATTGCCAATTTACATGTGTTACATTAGGTTCAACATTGTGGTTTCAATCTGATGAATTTTAATAAATATTCTTGAGTCCTCATGTCCGATTTGGTCTTTGGAAAAAGGTTGATCTGTTGGCTTTGTGCAGTGGTGTCCAATCATTTTGGAACAGGAAGGGGTATTTTCCTTAACTGAGTCCAACTGAAAGACAATCTCTCATTATAATCCACTGATGTAATTCTGTAATTTGACAAAGCCTTCCACTTTGCTGCGCACAATTATGTTGATGCTGATACACTAATTGTTGACTGCTTATTATTCGGTAGTGAGTAAATTGAATCCCAGAATTTAATTCACAGGTTTCATCCTATGAAGGCACCATGTTTAGTGACCCATTCCTTTACAGAAGTTTGTAGAAATATACATCCCTGCCTCCTGGATTTTATAAACATGGAAGTGATTGGAACAACTGGATTCAATTACTTTGAGAGTGACCCGGGATGTTTGCTAATAAAGTACCTTCAAACACAATTCAAATTTTCATCTCTTTAGACTCACAATTCAAATTCCTTCAGGATAAAAGCTTTATGATCTGCAATACCAAAATGTTCAAATTTCAAGGAGTTTAAGGGAAGACTTTCAAAAGTAGGAACTCAATGCTAATTGTAAAGCATGTTGGCGGCAGCATCCTGCTGTTTTGCTAACAGTGGCACTGATGCAACGCCACAAATGGGTGGAATGATGAAGTTGGAGGACTGCCTTGTTTTCTTCAACTTCACACAAACTCAACAGCGAGACGGTTGAAACTTGAACAAAATGCCTGTGATCAAAGTGAAACTTGCTATAGAAAATGTAGCCAAATATTAAAAATATAGGCTCATTTGAGTGAATAAGGACATATAACTTAGAAGTGTTAAACAGAAACCACACTATCCACAAAGAAAAGGTTTGACAAGTTTTATTTGGGAAAAGTCAGACACTGAACAAAGCAAAGTTGATCAGTTAAAGTTGGAAGTTACAACAGCTACAACGACTTGGTCACATGGAAACTGATTTGAAGTTTGTAATATTTCTGTGCTGATTGTGCATTAAAAAAAAACAGGCAGCAAGATCAGTTTGAACAAGGTGATGTGATTTGGGAGGTTGAGTGTAGGAAGTGTAGTTGAATCACTGATGTCCAACTTGGGTGGAAAACTGTCAGTGACACTTTTAAGGTTGCTGACAGGCATGGAAAGTGCAAGATTTCTCCAGATCTGTTGAGAGGAAAGAAATCAGTATATATTCAGATGCTGAACAGAAATGCATTCCACAAGCAATACATTTTAAAAAAAAATAAATTGTAGTCCACTTAGTACAACTGAGATTAGCACGAACCTGAAGCAGTGTCAGCGCATTGTCTGAGTGAGGACATGGCGTTCATGTACTCTTGTCCCAAAAACTGGTCATAGGTTTTTCCTGAAGTAACTTCCTGGAGACATTTGGTGGAGTCCTTGAAGAGGAGGTTCTTTCCATTGGCGGACTGGAACATTCTGAACGTAGAATCACTGCCACCGGTTCCAAACTTGGTCTGTAAAGACAATGCAAAATTAGGTTTTCATAATTGCTGTGTTTTACTGTACTGTTTCATTATGGTTGCGTTGCTACTGACTTTGAGAGCTGTAACGTAAGTTTTCTGATCTATGCTCTGCTTTAAACAAAGTCAAACAGCGTTCCACTGCATAGAAAAGACTCTACTTCAAAAGTAATATATTGTGAGATATAAACACATCCAAACATCATGTTAAACGTGAAGGAAAATTAGTTAACATATGGCTATACATGACCTCATAGTAATGTTTAATTTTTTGAAAACTGATTGAAAATTTGCAGGAAAATATTTTAAAACCAAATAAAATTTTCATTCTGCTTTGCATTAATTAATTAGTATGGTTCCTGCGCAAGCAAAATGCAGAATGCATTTTATTGTAAAAAAAAAAAAAAAGAACAAAAGCTACGACAAAAAGTAAATGTTATTTTCATTCTTTTGAAACAAAGTGTAAACTATTATGTGAATATTCAACTCTCTTTTGCTTATTATGTGGGGGGGAAAATTCAGCCTTATACATTTGAAACCTACAATTGCCTTTAATGTTCGTCACTGACCTGTTGGTCTTGCAGGATGCGGACCACTTTGTCACGAACATCAGGCCGAGTTACCACAGCGTGTGCCGGGACAGCAGCCAAGTGACAAGAAACAAAGTCCTCGACTGGCACTGGATCCTTTCCAGGGCAGATCAGCTGGTAGTCGGCAGAATTCACACCACGAGCCCAGTCAGGACCATTACCTTTGATGAGAAAAAAACAATGAAACATAGAGGGATACAGAGGGATGCTGAAATTTTCCAGCTAGCAATTCAGCAAAGAGGCAGAGCATAATCAGGTCAGTTCATGTCTCTTACCATCACTGTTTTCTGAAACGATTGAGTGTTTAATGAAGGCAACGTCACCAGCACCCTCTACCAGACATCTGCAACAATAAGCCATACATGATTTTATTCTAAATGAAGCGTTCCTGAAATAGATCTCAAAATGTTAGCATGATCAAAAAAAATTTTTAAAATCCCAAAGGCATTCAAAGCTTTACAGGATCACTGCTAAGTCTTTGGTACCTGAAAGCTCCAGCATAGCCGTAGTACTGCTCTTCAGCACTGGCTTTGCACTTGGCTTCATCTCCCACGGCTTTGCCGCTGCCTTTACACTCACGGCAGAATGGAGAGTTGGCTTCGGCTCCGGGGGCACAACCGCTGGAGAAGAAAGTATCTGCGGAGAATCAGAGGATCATCCATCAGCTGGGCTGAGAACTTCCTTTTCAACGAGGATTCTTATTAAGTCCACAAAGAATCCTTCCACTGAGTTTTCTTGTTATTAGAACAAATTGTGTACCTTGTATTTAAATGTTATATAATCACTTTGTACTGTACTTTTTCCCAGTTGACTGTTTCACTTACCAAACTGACAGTTTTTAGTCTGGGCATAGATGTGACCCATCGGGATGTTCCAGCCAGCTGTCCTGCCAATGCCTGTGTGGCAGGATTTCTTTCCCTGCAGATTTGCCCAGGTCACCCCTGAAGACTTCTTTACCACAGCAACAGCATAATAAGAGGAGGCTGTGTCTGTGAAATCAAAAAATACAAAGGAGATTGGTTCTAGCAACAACAAAAAAAGTCTTAAAATATTGCTTCAAAAGAGAACATAGTGACTTAATTTGTGAGAGACCAGTGTGAGTAGAGGATTTAGATAAGTTTAGTGACCTCCTGAAATAAAATCTGCCAGTAAAGAAACTTTTAATGCTCACGGTTTTTCTGGTCTTACACAAGTTTTTACACGTTTAACATTTGCTAAGTAGCAAAAAAAAAAAAAAAGAATTTTGATTGGACATTATGTGATAAATCAGTACAAATTTGAATGGTAAGAAAATAGAAGAAAGTTATTATTTAGATTTTTTTTTCTTTTTACAAATGAAAATGTACAAACTGTGGTAACCAAATTCAACCCACTTCACATTAAGTCTTTTTTTTTTTTTTTTTACAACGGATTGCCTCCTTCTAATTAGTAGCTATAGTCCATGGTTGTATATTTGAATCTCAATATAAATACATCTAAACACATAAATTATTGAAGAAAGACTATTAAAGGCAAAAAACAGGTCGACCTATCGGGGGGCGGGGGGGTTTCCTACATCAGGACAATTTGAAAGACTTAACAGCTGTGAAAAGTGATTCTACAAAATTCAGACTCCAAGGTTCTGAATACATACTGTATGAATG